GTGAGTGAGTGAGTGAGTGAGTGAGTGAGTGAGTGAGTGTGTGTGTGTGTGTGTGTGTGTGTGTGTGTGTGTGTGTGTGTACCTGGTATTTGTTGAGCTCTCCTCTCAGTCTGGCGATGTTATGGGCAGTCTGTGTGATCTGAGGCTGAAGGCTGGATGGATCTCCAAGCTGAGAGTTCTGCTCATAAACACCCTTCATCCTCATCAGAGCCTCGCTGACGAATGGACAGAGAGACGGACAGTGTTACAGTGTTAATGTGAACGGCAGGATTCTTAGGATCGGCTAGTTTCAGTAGTCACAGAAAGTGTTGATTGTAAAAAGTGGACATGGCAACCCTTGAAGAGCGTGCTCTGTGAAGCAGCCTTACAGATGTAAACGAAGGCAGCTTAGTTAAAATCACAGAACATGACGAGTCCTTGGTCGCTGTAATATTACTCTGCTCAAAAACAGCAGATACCAAATGAGATGCCAGACCGTTGCTATAGTGACCATGCTGTCAATCACTGCAATTTTGAGAGTGTTCCATACTGTTCCATACAAACAAAATGATATTTAAATGTAATTATTTCTATATTTTTGTCTATTATCTCAAGTTCTAGAAATAACATGATTTGCATGATGTGTGGTATTTCAGTGCTCAGTGAGACGGTGATGTACCTCTGCTCCGTCTCTCTCTGAAGCTCCTTCTGGATGTCATCGATCTTCTCCTGCAGACGCCTCCTCCTCTGATCCAGAGGCAGACGAGAGAGATCCTCCAGCGATGATGGCTTAAAACACACACACACTGAGACATCAGTACTCCACACACTCAACACTCCGACTGACTGCTCCTGTGCCTGACAGTACATGCTCTTAGTATGCTTTAATCTTACATCAATCAGCCCAAAACGAATGTTACTGATGAGTCATGATTTGTTTGTATGCAGTTTTCAAGCACAAACTTAGTTCGACCACACTGACCCCACACGAGATCATTCACTGGAGTCATATCACTTGTAAACAGTATAAAACAGTATAAAAATTAAAAACGAAACATTTTGCATAAAGCTGCTCACCAAGTTCTTATCAGGAGACGTCACCTGAAAATTCAAACACGTGCACAGACAAACAGTTAGTACACATATATTTACATACACACACATCATATATAAACTAATCTTAATCTAGTGTGTGCTCTATTTCAGCATGTTCACATCTGAGGCCAGTGTGATGATGGTTTGCAGTAATTCCTGCAGTACAGTGTGTGTGTGTGTGTGTGTGTGTGTGTGTGTGTGAGTGAGTGAGTGAGAGTGTGAGTGTGTGTGCAAGTGTGTGTGTGTGTGCGCGAGTGTGTGTGTGCGAGTGAGTGTGTGTGTGAGTGCGTGTGAGTGCGTGTGTGTGTGCGTGTGTGCAAGTGCGTGTGTGTGTGTGAGTGAGAGAGAGAGAGAGAGAGAGAGAGAGAGAGAGAGAGAGAGAGAGAGAGAGAGAGAGAGAGAGAGAGAGAGAGAGAGAGAGAGAGAGAGAGAGAGAGAGAGAGAGAGAGAGAGAGAGAGAGAGAGAGAGAGAGAGAGAGAGAGAGAGAGTGTGTGTGTGTGTGTGTGTGTGTGTGAGAGTGTGAGTGTACCTTGTTTTTCTTGAGGAAGAGCTGTTTGATGCGCACTTTGGGCAGGTGTGTTGCTGTGTTGTCAGATGTGGCAGCTCTGACTGTCTGACTGTAATCCTCAAACTCCACTTCAGCAGGAGGCACTGCACCTGATTTATACTGCTCTACGAGAGCCATAGTGTCCTGCACACAAACACCACATCAGCACGGCAAATCACAGCGTACTTCTAACATTTACTTTAGTTTATTTATAAAACACATTTAAAAACAACAGGTGTTCAAACCAAAGTGCTGTACAACAAATAAAACAAAAACATACCTAATCAAGAAAACAAAAGGGCCAATGAAATTAGTTTACATTGTAAAAAATTTAAGCCCATCAGATATTTAATGTCAGGAAGACATGCTGACAGATTAGACATAGAACAGTTATTGTTTTTAACAGGAAAATAAAGCTGAGTGTCGTCAGCATAGAGATGTTATGATAAATTATGTTTTCTGAAAAATATAACATACATTATAAAAATATAAAATATATGAGTGGAAGCATATATAAGGAAAAAAGAAGAGGACCCAGAATAGAGCCCTGCAGAACACCATAGGAGATTTGAGCCCGAGATGAGAAACAATTCCCCAAATTAACGGGAAAAAAAACTGTCATTAAGGTAGGATGCAAACCACTTCAGCACAGATCCCTGAAACCCAACTACTTGATCAAGTCTTTGTAGAATGATGGCATGATCTATTGTATGAAATGCTGCACTGAAATTAAGCATGATTAAGATACAGCAAGAACCAGAGTCAAAAGAAAGTAAAATATATTTAGTAACCTTCAACAAGGCAGATTCAGTACTATGAAATTCCCTAAAACCAGACTGAAATGAGTCAAAAATATTAGAAGTACTCCGGTAAGATGAGATCTCAGAATAAACTATCTTTCCAAAACTTTTGAAATGAAAGATAATTTAGATATGGGTCTAGTTATTCTGATCATGATGATGTTTTTTTAACAATGACTGGACTTATTCTAATGTGTCATTTTTCATTCCTGTGCTGTATGAAGAATGTCTCAGTTATTTCAGAAAAACACAGATCAAACTTCTGCCGAATCTCCTTCTCCTCAGAAGTTTCTGCTGAGAAAAAGACCCCAGTGATGTCAAATGTGTCTCCTCAAGGGTTTCAGAAGAGATCTCAATGACGTCTGTGCTCTTATTAGTCTGGATACCAAAGTCTGCAGTCAAATGTCATTTATTATGTCAAATTATTTCTTTTTAGCAATTTATTTATACTAATCAATTTGATTAAACTCTACTTATTTTAATAATTTTTTGTTTATTTTGATAAAATGTTTTAAGTATTGATTTTTAATCAAGGTGTATTTATTTTTAATCAAGTTTATTTAAATCCTATTTTACTTAATTTAATGCATTTTAATTAAATAAATAAGACCTTTTATTTCAGATTTATTTTCATCAAAATGGATTTATTTTAATCAATTAATATTTTAATCACATTTATCAAAATTAATTTTAATAATTTTGTATTTATTTCTTTTAAGCATTTTTTAGCATTTATTATAGTCAAAATGCATTTATTGCAATCAAATTTTATGCATTTGTTAACATTTTTTATTATTTAAAACACGTTTTTGTTTATTTATTAATTATTTTAATCAAAATATTTATTTTAACCCTTTTTTTTATTTTAAACATTGACTTATTTATTGCAATCCCCTGATCTAGGTTATCACCACACCGTGTTCAGGAAACACTAAATGTCAGTAAATATGAACTGGAGAGATGAGAACGCACATAACAGTGGAATGATGTACAGTCACATGACCAGACTCACACATTCCTGCAGCTCCTATCAGCTCTCGTCAAACTACTGTCAGTGTTCATGAATTTCCTTAAGAGGGCTGAAGTTAGAAATCATGAACTAACATACACTATGATATTTCCATGCAAACTGCAGGGAATCCTGACCTGTGTGTGTGAGTGTGTGTGTGCGTGCGTGTGTGTGTGAGTGTGTGTGTGTGAGTTTGAGCATGAGAGTGTGCGTGTGTGAGTGTGTGTGCGTGCGAGTGTGTGTGTGTGTGTGTGATAGGGGTTGCACAGACTAATCGACTAGTCGACTTCAATGCTCTGCCATGACGCTTTAAGCTTGACGTCGACTAGTCGCTGTTCCTATAGAGGGCGCAACAGGATAAGAAATCTTTGAAGGAATTCCACATTTACGCTCCGTTTCCAAACAGTTCAAATGACAAATAAATGCATACTCTGAAAGCGCTCCACAAGACATGTGTGATTATATTACTGGATGCTCGAAATTGAACGGGAGAATGCACGTTTTAAACAGCTTATTGCACAGGTAAATTAATCGTCGTTCTAATCTAATGCGCTGCTGCACTGTAACGCGCACACATAGGCTACAGACAGTAGCGTAGAGAGTGTGAGTGTGTGTGTGAGAGTGTGTGTGTGTGTGTGTGTGTGTGAGTGTGCGAGTGTGTGCGCGTGTACGTGTGTGAGTGTGTGCGTGTGTGCGTGTGTGTGTGCGTGTGAGTGTGCGTGTGTGTGCGTGTGAGAGTGTGTACCTGTTTCTCATTGATGTTCCTCCCAGTTGAGCTGATGGCGTCCAAACACTTGTTGATGTTGGGCAGGACGTTCTTCTCTGTTTCAGAGAACTGCACGTAGCCGTCGGCTAACAATCTGATGCGCCGCTCCTCCATTTCCTGCAGCTTCTGTGAGCGACAGACAGACAGACAGGAAGTAGAGCTCATAATATTCCAGTCAGGCTGATGATCTCTCTGATGAGAGCAGACCATGACGCACCTTATACACAGACGGGATCTCTGAGTGGTAGAAGTTGTTCTGCTCCTTATTGTATTTCTGCAGCTGTGAAGCGTACTCGTTCTTACACTCGTCTGCTAAGTGCACGCGGAGGTGAGCGTGCTGTTTGGCCTAAAACACAGACACAGACACAGCACATATACATTATCTGTTACCCATGAAGCTTAAGCACGCGTGTTGAAGGAGTCTGTACCTTTTCCACATCTGCTTTGGTGGCGTTTGTGTCCTGCTGGACTCTTTCTGTCTGCTGATTGGCCTTCTCTGCTTCTCTCCACTCCTTCTCAAAACGCTTCTTACTCTGGATATAAACCAATACAGATGCACACAAATCAGTTAAACATTCTAGCTCACTTCATAAACATGTATACATGATAAGAAAGCAATCAATCAGTTACTCATGATGGTGTCTGAAGCAGATGCATTCAGAATAATGCATTATAATAATGCACCATCTTCACCATCGTGTCTACAGTGAGACTTTAGTTCTGGCTCACTCACGTTCTTGCGCTCCTGTCGCAGCTCCTGCAGGTTTCTGCTGAGGTCCACGCAGATGCTCAGCGTCATGCTCTCGGACAGATGCTCTCTCTGAGCCGCGGAATCGTTCAGCTGATTCAGCACGTCCTGAAACGCCTGCTGATTGGTCACCCTGCAGAAACACAGTCAACAACACCACCACCGCTGCATTCAGGGCAGAGAGACACACGCATGATAGACCAGCACTTTTCCTGCGGGATGACTTATTACAATAAATTAATACATGAAAGTGTCATTTCTGAATGCTCTTAGAACATTCAAAACATCCAGGTTCTAAAATGCTTTTCTTGTTTATGTGAATGCTAGGGGAAAAGTTAAGGGAATGCCCAATTTTGTCATTTCACAAACATCATGGGAGTTCTCAGAAGCATCTGACACATGTAGTAAGCAGTAATGTTTATGAAGCATTAGACAATGGCCAACTAAAATGTTTCAGAAGAAATGTATTAGAATGTTTTTGTGCTAACGTTCTGACAACATTGTTAGATGTTAGATTCCTGTTAGATTGTATGTGTTACACAGAGAATTGTGTGTTGTGTTTTGAAAAAAAGTGTTTTCTGAAATTGAAAACTGAGTCAAAGGCTGAGAATTACTGTTTGGTTTTGCAGATGTGGTGTGTGCTTCTGCTGTTTGAGTGTCAGCTTTCAGAAACTGTGTGACAAGTAAAGATTTTGTGTGTACGCAATTGAAAAAAAACGAATGTTACTGAAGAATGTTTATTCATAACTCTGAGAGAACGTTCTCAGAACTTTCAAACAAAAAGAATTTTGGTAACAAAAAAACCAAACAGTGTTTTAGAAATACCACAAACATCTTCATTCAGTCAAAATAGTTGGGAGTCAGCATTGCAGACTGACAGCATCGAGGCTGTTTATCAGTGTTTAATTGCCTAATCGACTCACTTTGTGTCCTGGTCTTCTTTGATGCCTCGTCTGGAATATTTCTTACAGAGGTTCCTTCAGTGAAACACACACAAAACAGGTTAAACCGGGATGAAACATGTTAGCCCTGACCACCAGCGGCCTTCAAGAACACAAGATCAAACGCCACTTTAACTATTCATTGTGCACCTAAAAATATATATTTGACAGACTTTCCAAACACTGCTGTCACCCTTGCATGACAATATCACAAGCTTTCTGTTGATTTGACAAACAAAATAATGGGAAGTAAATCCAGGAGGGATTGAGATGATGATGCCGCTCGACCTGTGCAGAGCCTTCAGCTTTTGGACCTAATTAATATTCACGAGCCAATCCTTTTTACATCAGGGAGTCTATAGAAAAGCTAACAGAAAAACTGTTTTTTGAGGATGATGATTTTAGGGTGTGTGCCATCAGAGACTGGAAACCTCTGATTTATGCTGTACAAACACAAACCTGAGCTGTTTGGCGTAATTCTGCTCGATCTCGGCTCTCTCTTTGACAAACTTCACGTATCGCTCCAGCAGATCCAGCCCGCTCTGAGTGTGTCTCTCAATCACATCATGCTGGTCCTGCAAACACACATGATACACAGATTTCTGAGTGAGTGTGTGTGTGTGTGTGTGAGGTATGCAGGACATTCAGCTCTCTAGGTGTGTCGCTCTTTTCCCACATGCAACTCTCAAACTAGCTTGACAGGTCGATCTGCTTCACACTAGCAGTGACAGACGACCTGATCTGATGGGTCACGTGACACATGTGGCTTCAGCAGAAATTCATGCAACTTCTGTTGTTTTCATATGAACAGCTAATCATAAGTATTATAACCTAACTCTGTTCAAATGGTCATGTTAGCACACACCATTGCATGTTACACTTAGTTGAGTTTGTGTTTCTTATTCACTAAACATGCATCTATTTTAACAGGAAGGTGTGTGAGCTCACTGATCTGCTTCCTGTTGGTCCAGAAACCATTCCAAAACAATGGAGATGAGAAATAGTTAGTCTGTTCAGAGATGATCTGACACCAGTGGTAAACCAGTTTAACCTGCACAGGTAAAGCCTCAGACACTGAAAGCAAATCACAGCGAGGCTGTCACGTGACTTGAAGAATAAATAATAGTAGCTACAAATAGGTGAACATAAATCAATGTGTCATTTTAATTTATTCATAAACGATTAAAATGAGAAGTATTGCTGTTGCAACTGTCCCAACTAACCCAGTAGGATGTAGAAAAACCGCAACAAATGACAAAACAAAGCTTTATTGGTGCACTGGCCCACATTTGAAGCGTTTTTGCGTTGTTTTCAGTTTCAGTTTGTTGCGTTGATTAGGCTACTTTTTTACGCACGCATTTCATTTATCACGTTTGTATAATTATTTCAGCTGTTAGTGATACTTGGTTTCAATATCAATATACACTTTCTGGGTCGCATTGGTTCAATTTAAATTAATAGCCATCATTAAAAAAACAACAAAAAGAAACAGTGTCGTTACATTTTTAATGTCAAATGTACGAATTAATGCTCTCACGTGTGCATCGTTTTTACGCGATTTGAACGCGTCCAGTATTATCAACAATAGCCTATTGGTTCCTAATATACATTAAATATAAATATATTTGCTTATGTCGCCATAACATAGTCTAATTTCGGACAAGTAAACTATACTTTTCCAATCATTAAAAGGTTAATCGTGACTGCAGTCAAAAGTTGTGGGAGTTCGAGTCAAGCTGAAGCGCAGGTAAACACACACCTGTTTGCTTGTGAAGTAAAGAATAAACTTACCCAAAGATCTGAACCCCAATCCATGATCTCTGACAGATCCGAAAGAAACCACTGCAGCCAAAGAGTGCAAGACACGAAACTCCTCAAGGAAGCTTGTTTTATCTCACAATCTCTCCATACATATATCAGGTAATGTGGGGTCTTTATGGAGAGGAGAGTGTTCCCCGTCAAACACGGTTATTTCAGCAGGTAAATGAGTAGTTACAGTGAAGAGGATCGTCTCGTCTGAGCGCGCGATTGAATGTCACCTCAGCACACCTGAGCTCAGGTGCATTTGATTGTGCTTCTGAATCACTGGCCGTTCTCAGTCGATGGACTTTTGACAGATAACAACGTCTCCAACACGGTTAAGAAATAAAAATAAAACACCGGTAAAATTCAAGATATTTATAATCCGAAATGATGACAGTGGCGTTTGTGAACAGATTTGTTGTAACACTACACTGTCACTGACATCTACTGGATCAAAATGTTAATACAAACTGCTACTTGATCGAGGTGGACGAATGGACCAATCACAGTCGTTTGGTGTCAGGTGGTTGGACCAATCACAGTCGTTTGGTGTCAGGTGGTTGGACCAATCACAGTCGTTTGGTGTCAGGTGGTTGGACCAATCACAGTCGTTTGGTGTCAGGTGGTTGGACCAATCACAGTCGCCCGATTACTGAATGGACCAATCACTGTCTTATTGTTAACCCCTCAGTCTTCAGTGGTGGATAAGAGCTGCATGATAAAATTGCATTTATTTGACTTTTCTGATTCTGTTGAATCACATCATCACTAAAAAAGGCTATATACAAAGTATAGCTTTATAGTAAAGATTTGGTGAAATTTGAAAGCTGTTTATCTCCAGTTACTCCATTCTTCTTACAGCCAATCAGCTTGTGTTTTATGTGCCTCAATTAACCGTCTGAATCTGCTCTTTTAGTGCACTCATTAGTTTAGTCTGTTATGTGGTGGTTAGTTTGGGGGTTTTGTTCGATTTTTTTTCCACCTGACCAAAACAATTCAGCCCACCAGTGTCTCGCTGCTTCTCCTTGTTTCAGTACGGTGGCCGAGAAGTGCTAAACAAATCACAATTCTGAAAACAAAATAACAAATTACAAACGCAAATGCAAGTCTAAAAAACAAAATAACAATTCAGAAAACACAACAACAATTCAGAAAACATTATAACAAGTCAGAAAACACAATGACAAATTCGAAAACAAAATAACAAGTCAGAAAACACAACGACAAATCAGACAAACCGGAAGAGGTAGGTATAGTTTGAGACAGCGCCATTGGTTTGGGATTACTCACCGCTGACTGGACGAGACATCTGTCAATCAACGTATACAGGAAGAACCAGCCGAAGAACAGCAGAGTCGTGGAAGAAAGTTCGGAGATGGTATTAAAGTAGCTCAGTTTAAATGTATTGTATGAATTGCCTTTACTATGGAATAAAAAATATGGAGTGTCTATTTACATCTAGTTAAATGTGGCTGTAAACCATCAGCTCCAGTGGTGCAGATGGATAAGTGCTTATCGTTGGCTTTTTGACGCGATCGACCAGGGTTCAATCCCACCTTTTGACAAACTTTTTTTTCCTCCTTTTTCAAATCTCCTATTAGCAATGGATTCTATTTACACTAAGTGAAAATAGCAGTATTTTTAACAATATGCTATATACACTAAGTGCAAATACCTATTTACACTATTGTAAGTATTGTAGTACATTATAAAACAGTATGCAATAATAACGTATCGAGTGTAAATTATAATTTTAATTATTAAATGGATGCCACCTTATTGGTACAATAAAGCCCTCCCTACACCTACCCTAACCCTACCCGATACTTTATTTTCAACTTTTTGATTATTTCCTT